CGGGACCCAGAGGTAGCCAGGCGAGCTTCCTCAACCACTCGAGGGTGAACAAAATCTCCCTGCGAGCCAGAGTCCCATAGAGCGCGGTACACCCTCGTAGATGTCCCTAGTCGAATAGGAATGATGGGTAGGGTGCGATCAGGGTCAGAGAGCACGGCGAGAAGACGACGCAGGACGTTGATGTGTCTCGTGAGTCGCTCCTGACGAGCCTGCAGAATGCTCAAGTCTAGGAGAGATGACACAACGTCATCGCGAGTCGCCAGCTGAACGCTACAACGGGCTGTGCGAATGGCGCGACGCGTCGGAAGTCTCGGGGGAGAAGTGCTAGATGCGGCGGTCTGCTGGGAGGCAGACGGTACCTCGACAGACGACGGGGCAGGGAGAACTGCGTCTGTCATGTCCTGAGGGTCCTCTGGTGGGGTAGCCAAAGGGGCAAACCGCGACTCGGTGGTCGGGAAGCCGGCTACGTGTGAGGCCTCAGGGGCACGCTGCACCGTGGCTAGGTGGATGGGGTTGGCCTGGTGGGGCCGGGGGGGGACTRAGATCGACGCTGACGAGAGATGTCAGCGTAGTGCCGGTCGAGGGCGGTATGGTATGGACACCGTGAGGACGTGTGTCCATCCAGGCGGCAACGAAGGCAGCCGCGCCGGGCCTCGAGGGCTGCACGCTCCTCAGGAGATAGGGCTCCGCGAGGAGGGACATAACCCTGCGGGAGGTCTATCTGAGGGACCGTGGTGTGCGGGCGCCAGCCTGTGCAACCTGACTACGAGCACGACCCATGGCAGACATGGCCAGYGCCAAACGCTCGGCCATCGGAACTGTGTCGTCATCCAAGTGATACTGGACGACGTCTCGTAGCTCAATGTCCTCAGGGGCGTCCCCAAGGGCAGGGTCAGACTCGGCCGAGGCGTCCTCGCCGTACTCCAGAGAACTGTAGCGCCGGGAGAACGACGCTCCAGGTCGGGCGGGTCAGCGAAACCGGCCAGCGAAGGAGGATCGACCGCGGGTAGCACCACGTGACTGGGTGGCGGCGGCGGTGGATCGCGAAGAAGATGGGTGTCGGAGAAGCGGTTCCGCATCTTCTGGTACTGTCGAGCAGCCTCGAAGGCTTGCTCGGCAGAGGCGAAGCKCTGTCGCCAGAGCTCGATACRGTAATCAGTCGGGAGACTGACTACAAACCTGTTGGTCAGAAGGACCTCAGGTAGGAGTGCCTCATCGCAAATGAGGCGGGCATCCTGAAACACCYGGATGTGATGCTCGAGGTCGGAGGGTGCGGAGGATCCGCGCCACTGCGTCTGGGTGACCCGATYTATGGCGTCGGTCGTATCATGGAGGGTGCCGTAGCGGTCGTGGAGGAACGCGGTGAACTCCTCGAGGGTGGGCGCCTCACCTGCACGAGCACGATGGGCAAAATAGTTCTCCCACGCGGAGAACGGGCTGCCTCGCAATTTAGTTGCGAGAGCGGAGCACCACAAGTCCTGACTAGTGTTAGTCAGTGTCAGTGCGCGTGTGGCAGCCTGCAACCAATGAGTCACACGCATCGTACCATCGAAGTCGGGGATGTCCGACAGACGCACAAGGGTGGGACCGCTGTGGTGGCGGCGAGGAGAGAGGGGCTGATGGGTCTGCACTACGGCGGCAAGTGTCGGCGCCGGTGCAGAGGTAGATGTTGGAGCCGGTGTAGGGGTGGACGTGGAGGCTGGCTGTGAGCCGGGGCCGCTGGTGGAAGGTCCAGCAGGCGTGGAGGTAACGGCTGCAGCCGACTGTGACGGAGTAGCAAGGTAGTAGGGTAGTGGGGGGGGAGGCTGTCGAGGGAAGCGAGCSGGTAAGACAGTGGTGGTAGGGACGGTATAAGAAGAAGAAGGGTGCGCAGCCTGTGAAGGGTGAGGCTGCCGAAGGGAGAGAATCTCCGCCTGGAGATGGGCCACAGTGGCTTGTAAGGTAGCCACTTGCAGGGTGCGCGGGGTCGGGGGTGGAGGAGGCGGAGGGAGTGTCCTAGCAGGGAGAGGAAGAGCTCCGAGCCGAAGTGGCGTGATGATCGGTGCAGGAAGCTGTGATGCAGCACCGGGGTGGGTAGATGAGACTGCCTGGCCAGACGTCGGTATCTGGGCGGCAGCACAGCCGGCAGTGGCCGAAGCGGCAGGGGCGACGGGGGCGGCGGCGGCAACCGATGCCTGTACCGCAACAGACGGTGTGGTCTGGGCAGCAGCAACACTCACCACTGGGGCGGGGGTGTGCTGGGCCTGGCCCGCAGAGGAGGACGAACCGCCACGTCTCCGTCTCTGGAGTCGTGGAGAGCCAGACGCCGAGCTGGTCGGCGATGGGGTCTGGGAGCGGTGGGGGGAGCGATGAGGGGAACCCTTGAGTCGGTTAACTTCAAGGGCGAGCGCATTGACTTGCGTCTCCAGGGGTACAAGCGCATCGAGTCGCGCTTCTAGAGGTGCAAGGAGGGACGCAAGAACAGCGCGAAGGTCCGTGGGGTCCATACCGTGTTGACCCTAGACCGTCGGGAGGGTGGACGCCTGAGAGGTGGACGGCGCCACAACGATCTCCTCCACTATACCCATGTCCGTGGGTGGTGGAGGGAGAGAGGTAGGCATGGTGGGAGGKGGGGGGAGATATGGGTTGTGGTATGGGGATAGAGGACCACCGGTGAGAGGGAGGGGACCGCGAGAGCGGAGTGGGTAGGTGTGGGTCGGCTCGCTCCGTGACCAGCGGGTCGCGCGTGAGATGGTGGCGCGAATCCGGTCGAGGGGAGAGGAGCCGTTHGGGTCCAGGGTGCCCGACGGAGGGAGGTGGGAGAGTAGGRGGGGTAGGAGAACCCTGAAAAACCCTAACCGGAGTTTAGATGGTTAGGGGAGGGTAGCGGCGACCTAATCAAGAAAAGAAAATAGTAACTATGGGGGGAAGGGGAGGGAAAACAGAATAAACAGTGGATCTTCAAGGCCAAAAAAAAAAA